GAGTTGATGTAGAGCACATAGAGCACCAGACATCACTTTTGATTTGTTATATTTGGTGTTGTAAGCACTAGATGCTGACTTCTGAGTCCATTGATGAATTCTATCGAACTGAAGGTGACTCTGATCTATACTAGCCCAAAATGAAACTACCTAATTAAGACCTTGACAAATTTATATCATGCACACAGTTAGCTTGGATCGATTTCTGTGCATAAATTCGTCGGAAATACTGTGAATCAGCGTGTTTCTTGACTCATTCATCTCTCTAACCCTCTTTTTTGGGTGACTCTAGAAACGTGTCCTGGATTTTTTGTATGAGTCCAATCGAAAGAGTTAACAAAATCGTCCGTATGATCGACCACGTTGTGAATATAACTCAGGGATGACAGTTGGCTACACGTTTTTTCTCTTTCAATGATCTTATTGTCCAAGTAGCACTTAAATATTAGATTTGAATGAAATTTGCTACGTAATTTGTGTACAACATCCATAATTCAGCCTATATACTTTGGACTCATCTGACTGAGTGCTCAAGGTCATTAGTCCCTTCATTAGGTAGTTTCTTACTGGGTTACTATAGATTAAAGTCACCGTACTGAAAAGCAGCTGAATCGATCTCAATGAAGTCAGTAAAACAGAACAACGTTTACCACAATTAGAAGAAATAGTATTGATCACAATCATCAATAAGTGAATTTTATTGAAAAAAGACGCTTTAATTTTTTGTAGTATGATTCTCCGAATACAAGTACAAACTTGTCTCTCACACCTCATATAATAATAACATGTGACTTAAAGGGACAAAAGTACAAAATTATGTTTTTACTTATTTTTAGTGCCTGAATAATATTTATTTGTATATTTACATGTTCTATATGGTAATACTCATCTACTTTCTGCAAAAGTATGCAAAAATATGCAATATAACTACTGCCGTGCAATAATCTACGCTGTTCAAATAATAACGCATTATTTATTATCCAATCAGCGCTCAGTATGCACAAAGGTCATTACAAACTGGTTGACCAATCAGAATACTGTATGTTCCTAGGTCATTCCTTTTGTTATTATAGATATTTGTATTTAGGCGGCAAATCAACCCTTATATAAAAGCACCTTGAATGATTTAAATTAAAAGGAAATGTTAATGGTAATATAGCGTGTATAGTTGATGTTATTTTTGGCACACACACACACACACATACACAACTGAATGTATTCCCATCCACATAGAAGAGGATTTTGTCAAAACAAACTATAGAAATGAAAAAAAAACACCAAGGATACGCAGAAGTATATGTTCATGTCTGCATAAGTGTTACGTCAATTGTTGTAGAAATAAAGTTAACGGAGATGACGCCTTGTTTAAATTAAATGGAAGTATGAATAAAAGGTTTATCCGCACGGAACAGACAAATGATGTTTAAATATAGTTGAATCCAAGTTTAGCAATGCAACAAGGGGTGTAACGTCTAGTGTATCTCTCTAGTGTGACGTCATCTGTGGCATTTGCAAATATGTCCACAATTTTTGTTATTAGACCAAATTTTTTATATATCTGTCTGATTTGGTTGTTGATTTTCCTTCCTGAGTGTCATAGAAAGGCTAAGAATGAAGTTCATTGGCAAATTCTCATACTTTAGAGAAAACTTAGCGGTAGATATTCTGAAAAGGAGAAACTCTACTAATTCTATTGTGGGTAAAATTCATTTTGATAAAGTCTCAAAGTGTTAAAAAGTAATCTTTACTGATGACGTAATGCTGTGAGACTTTCTCAAAATAAATTTGACGCACAATGGAATTATACTCTTATGTCAAGGAGAAACACTGCTGGCGTAAGAAAGACTTTTCTTGAAGCGAAATCATGATTAATATTCTTTAACAGCCTACTGCTCTTGAGTAGTTTGAAAGAGAAACTTCCACAGAGGACCACTCCAGTCTGCATGTACCAAGATATCTGATCCTACTGAGCTTGGTCGATATGTCTTCTGAGCGCGTCTTTTCAAAAAGTGTTAGAGACACCTATTCAATCTGGCTACAAAGAGACAGCACTGGTTTAATCAAAGGTACTATAACAGAATATGACTCTACAATTAACGGATCTCTCAGAGTCAAATTGGATAGATATCCATCAAGAAACAGTGTTTTTTTTTGACTTTGTTGTACTTCAGAAGACCTCAGCATATGTATTGAGAGGTTGGAAGTATGTGCTCAAAAAGGAGTAGTTCAACCTTTACATTTACCGTGGATCTAGTTCTCAGTTGTCGTTTTATTCATCCCCATCATGGATTGAAATCAGTTAAAGGACCACTGAAAATCAATGAGTACTAGACAACTGTTTCGTTCTAGTTTGGGACACATCGGCAGTACGCACTCACTGGGTTTTGAACCCAGGACCTTCCAGTTACAAGGCAAGCTCTTAACTCCATCTTCACCCTTGACTGGATGGACTAATTCTTGAAAGTGAATCTGATGCTCGTAGAGACTGTCTACAGGAAGACATTATCTGGAGTTCTAATGAAAAGTGGTAACCAGTGGGGTCTGTCCAACCGGGACTGAGGAAAGATTTCCTACTGATGACATTGGTTGGTAGTCGCGCTAAATTCACGAATTGGTAGAAGTTGAAATTCATGGGTTGGCCACAGACTCAGGTCCTCTAGTGGTTGATTGGTATATGAGCTGGTTTGGCTTGTAACTGGAAGGCCCTGGGTTCGAAACTCAGTGGGTGCGGACAAACGATGTGTCCTAAACTAGGATGAAACAGCTGTCAGTACTCCATGCTGGCTTTCAATGGTTCCCTAACTGATACCAATTCGTGGTCTCACCTGAAACAAATACTTATGTACATAAATTGACAGGGTACACCTATTTTAAGATGAAATCTCCGAAAAGATATCTGTTTGATGAACTTTGTGTTCTTTTCTGTGTAGTCTTCTGAAGTGTATTTTTCACAATTTAGAAACCCTTCACACTTCCAAACGAATTCATGTCAATGAATCGGTCATGCATTTAACAAGTTTCAGGATGGGTGTAATATATAATATAATGAACAGCTGTTTTAATATTTTTCACTAGGATACATTCTCTAGTCTAGTTAACCGATATGAACAGTACTCTGGTTACACTTCAACAAATGACACTAATACACAGCAGTTGAGCAATGTAAATAATTCTTCAACATCAAACTTTTTTTCATTCCTTTTCTCTTCTGAATGGAACTTGGGGGATCAAACTAGATGATCGAAGTTTTAGTAGCCCAACTTTCATGTCTTAACTGTACTTACTGCAGGATAGTTTACTGAGGCTTGGGAGTGCATCGACTGGCAATCGAATCCACGGACACACCGGTGGTTTTCGAGAATTCTACCGTTGAACAATCGATTCCTCATCAACACCATGGTGATAATAAATAAACAGGTATGCTGTTATCAAAAACGTTTCAGTTTTAATAATGTTTTAAATAAATAGTAACGTTTCCTTATTATATGGACGTATATATTCAAAACACACTACGTTTCATAGCAAGCAATTCACCAAACACATCTTAGTTTTAGATATATGGTAGGATAATGTCAATTTTAGACTGAAGCTTTCATGAGATTGAACTTTAGTTGTCGATTCTCAAATGAAATCTCCAGTAGACAGTCAAAGTTAAGAAATGACCAGCACAGTGGTTAGGACTCTCGCCGACCATGCACATGGTCCGAGGTTCGATCCTGCAAAATTTGGGATACCGATATCCATGCTAAAAATTCCATACTTGTACCAGTGTACAGTGTGGAATCAGGCTGTGATCAAAAATTAAAAAAATAATAAAAAGATGCTAGTGCGATATAATAAGATGAATGTAAAAAGTGATATAAAGAAAAAGAATTAATTAAAAAAAAGGGATCAATAATTAGTTGTTGGAAGTTAAAAGGAGACTCTCTATGTGGAGTTTAGAAAATTCTAGTATTATTATTATTGTTTTCTGAAATTCCTAGAGGAACATACGGCTTCAGCCGCACATCTTTCATCACTTGGCTCAACGTCTCCCCACATGCTTTTATCCCCTCTTCACGTGACCTCCTCCATGTTACCCTCACACTGACGACCAATTGACTCGCTGCTTTCAATTCTGGTTCCACTCGAACCATGGCCTGTCGTGTGATGTCACTTGATGGTTTCCTTAGAATATGGCAACAATCCACCTGCATATTTGTTGCGAAAACGGTTTCTGCTGTTTGGTTGGTTTGTTGCCAGAGATCCCTCCCTGATGCTGATCTTTTCTGGCCGGTTATCTGATCTTGAGTAGTAATGCGAGAAGACAACTGTTGATGAAAGTCTGTAGTTTGTTCGAAGTGGCCTTTGTAACGCGGCGCCAAGTCTCTGATCCATATAGTAGCACTGGCTTCACATTCGAGCTGAGTGTTACCATATTCTACAAAAAATTAAATGCCATACTGCAACAAACCACAAGAAGTTAGGAATCATTGAACTCTATCCTGACTATTGAATCGGATAATCCTATACTTGATCTTTGACACAAATAATGGGCTTGTGTTGCTGAAGAATCTTATCGACAAGGAGGAAACTACTGTCCCGTGGCTTCAGCTCGTTTTGTAACTAACAGCTATGCTTTACAAAGTTCACTTCATTTTCCGTCTGAAAACACCAATTTCGGTGAAGGTGTTTGTCAGTGGTGTAACAGAACACTTGTTGGCCACGCGACAGATCCTAGTTCGATTCCTGGCCTACATACTATGAAACCACCTAGTTAACTACCCGGTAGTAAGTCTGGAAAGGAGGAATGGTTGTTTGTAAATAAAGATCCCACCAACTTCGTAAAGAGAAACAACACCATGGTGGCTGAAGCTCCAGAGCTTAAAGCTTGAAATCTTTTGTTCCAGCCGAAAGGCTAGGAAAGAATAACGATTATATTATTATTATTATTATCACAAGTTAAAGAAACAGGTAACAGAGTAATACTTGCAATGGTGAATTTCCTTCATATCACTTACCTTATAAACAGCATAGCCAATAGTCAGTAAATCGCTACCTTCACGTCTCATCTTCCTTCTATCCTTTTGCATTAGACCAACAATTAATGTGCCTTTATTTTCCTCATCATTTTCATCTGGATCTTCAACAGATACTACATACTGGGGATTTGTCCAAAATGTATCTAAAATTGATTAATTATTGATGAAAATATATAACAGGTAAACACGGGAATGACAAAACAATTAGTACAATGCACACATTTCACTGTTTTTCACAGTAAACTGAATTGGCGTCGGTTTGTGAACCCTATACAATGCTTCGATGGCATAGCGGTTAGGACGCTCGCCAACCATGCACATGGTCCGGGGTTAGATCCCCGGCCACAGACGCACTCCTTTACCTCGCTAAGCTAGAAATAATGGTGGTAAAGAGGAAAGGTTGGGTGGGTATGAGGCTAGCAACCCCATCCTGTAAAAATCAAACACTGCTAGAGAAACTTCAAGCCACTAGCTTGAAGCCCTATATTCCACTGGGGAACGTGAAGGAAAACAAAATACAGCTATACGGCATCCAACAGCGGTGTCATACTAGTCCGCAATTCTTCAGGAATGCATTAACAGGAAACAAATCTAGGATTCGAAGCCAGAACATTGAGTTGACAAAGTTAAACTGTAGACATCCCAGATGGGGTGATACACCAATGAGCTTAGAAAGGCTAAGTCATAGCACTATTCATGAAGAAAATTGTTGAATGAAGTGTAATGCTATTAACGAAGAAATATGGTTGGTCTTAGGCTAGGGAAGCATTACGGTTAGTTTAAGGCTAGGTATGAGTTAGAGTCAGATCAACCTAATTAAGGAGATATTAGCGATGGTTAGGTATAGACTAGGACAAATGTTGTGTTAAAGTTATGGACCAAAACTTGAATTTTGGCGGGCAAAAACTTAGTTTTTAGCCCATGTGTTTGTTCCAGGGACACTGGTATGTCTGCGGCTCTTCAGTGTCTTGAACTGAACTCCATCCTTCGGGTTATGAAGTCAGCCTCGTTATGAGACCTCCAGAATAAGAAATGGTTTCACTTTAAAAGGTGAATTTTCGTGAATTGATTTATTCATTACGTCTAATAACAAATTACACCACACAATGCTAAGCCACAATTAAGCATAATGACTACACTCCATTAATAATAACCGATGACATACAACTATTTGACATCATTTCAAGGTACATGAGAATACCGAGCCACCTAACCTAGTGACGACCTCACAAAGTTGATGGATAGAATTTAGTCAGTATCAAAACGAAGGACATTGATTACTCTCCCACTGACCAATAAATGTATCCCTTCAATCCTACAGGAGGTTAGTCACAAGTCCGACTAGCTCAGTGGCAAAATCCATGGCTGCAGCACTGTGTAATGGTGTAATTTGTGTCAAATAAACTCGTCCTTACACCCACATATACAGTCTATATCCACTGATACCTTCACAGCAAAAGGTAGTGAAGCAAAATGTTCATCTTCAGTAGTCCGTTGGGGTACCTCAATGGGATCAGTGTCTCTGTAACTGTACTTTACTTCAATCAATCAAATTAGGATAATTTTCAAACATTGATTTCCGAAGATTTGATTGGTTACAGGAATTTATCATGACCTGACATTGGTTAGAGAACCATTGGAATACCAGTAGTGAGTGCGGGACAGCTATTTCTTCAGCCTAGTTTGGGACTATTCAGTGGGTTATCTAACCCAGGACCTTACGGTTACAAGGCAAGCTAGCTCGTAGACCATTTGGTTACTGGAACCCGACCTAATGGCCAGTCTATCAGTTCTAACCTCTGCCAATTCACGATATAGCGCAACCACTATCCACTGTCATCAGTGGTGAGTAGTTTACCCAGTCACTGGTCCCGAATTTGTATGAAATGATTAACTGAACTCAATTCAAGCCATCACTCATAGTCAACATGAATCTGCATTTATTGTCACCCATGTCATCAGAAACTAAATAATTTCTAAAAAAAAAAATAGAATAAAATTCTTTTTGTCACTTTACCAAGAAAATTTCGGCATCCACCAGCTGTAACACGACGTTGCCAAGATCCCTCTTCAATACACATTTCCCATACACGATTTTTCCCCTTAGCAGCATCTCCCATTGATTGTGGTCCAAGATGACATATTTCAAGTTTTTCAAAATTTGATGTAAAATCTTGATAAGACATCCTTTGAAGAATGCAAAGAGAAATAAAAAAGAAACTTAATGAAAACGAAATTTAACTTAGTTGAAATTAGTGTGTCATTGTTACTAAATATCTAACGTATCGGCAGAAGCACATTAATTTTGATTGGACACTAACTATTGTCTTGTGTCTAGTCCTCTTTTTACTGCAGATTGAATTCTACCATTCGGACTTTCAGTGTGGCCACCATGCTAGACATCTGACACTAGTCAGTGTCCAGTCAAAGTATCTAATATAGTCTTACATGAGGCCGATTGCCAGCTCAGATAGCTCAGTGGTAACGTCTCTAACTGTAGGTAGTATTAGGTGATACGCCTTCGAATCTCAGAACAGACATGGGTTCCTTCAAGGTTGCAGATACGCCTTGCTGACTAACTGGCAAATGCATGATACCTATGTCCAAGGCTTCCTTCGGATGGCCTTCAATCACCTTATAACAACAGAAGCTCAGTAAATTGGCTGTGATAGATTTGTGTGATTAGTGATAGGGTTCCTGACAGGCTAAAACGGGTCAAAGTTTAAGTTCTTCGAATTTTCCTTAATGGTGAAATGCAACTAATTTTGACAGGCCGATCAAGAACACGATGATGACTGACATATCAGCGCATTGGTCAAAGCAAGCTCTTTAAACATATATGGTTAGTTTAAATTGGTCACACAGTGAGACACAAAAGAGATTCTTTTTTAAGGGTTACGAACCTAGTTTAGTTAGAGAACCACTGGAAACCAAGATCAGGGGAGATTTCTTTCCGTCCTTGTTTGGGACTCTTGAGTATTATGCGAACATGACTCCACAAGGCATCGGGTGGCGTGGCCAACTCGAAGACTTTTCAGTCACTCGGGACGGAATCGAATGACTGACTAGCGATTCTGACTTTGGCCAACTTTAAACATATAGAAGCGACCTTCAGAGAATGTCATCGGTGTATATGTGTCCACACACACATCGTGGTAAGATCTACTGATTACAGATTCTCACTATAACTTCAAGCAACTTCATCCTGAAGTCAGAACTGATGGGCAGCTATATTCCGTTCTGGATTTGATTTGTGATGGGGTCAAGAGTACGCGCTGCTGAAAATTCCAGTACCCAATGGTATTCAATGATTTTCTAAGTGAAGTCTTTTGGTAACAGCGTTCACTAGTTGACCCATGCTGAAGACATTTAAACACTTCTAACACAAGATACCATGTGACAAAACAATGTACTTTGACACATTTTACAAATTCGTTGATAAAAGCAGTTAGGATGAAACGACACCAACTTTTTTAACCTTTATACTAGCAGAAACCATAATCCTCGATGACAGAAATGATAGTAAGACCTTGCCAAAGCAGGACTACACATATCACTTTGTAAGACATTAGGTAGGTGAGATCAATACCATGCGTGCGAATCCTTATGACTATTAGCTAGCTGACAAGTATCAGATTCCAAACCCTATCCACTTCATTCGACCTAAGACTTCCTACATGTGTTATTCATAAACCAGTATATAAGTAATCTTTCATGAGCAGCTGAGCTGCATTTGCAATTCCAGCTTTCATTTCAACCACTAATAACTGTTAACTTATAGACGTTTAGTGACTTATATCAGAGAGGTCTTCATGGCTCTGAGTCCTTTATAGGACTGTTAGGAACAAGTAAAGACTGCTGCAACCGTTTTGTCATTGCTTAAAGATTAACTTTCCTATCTAGTTTTGATATCAATTTAAATCTTTTGAATTCCTTATTTTCATGCTACTTCTCCATTGGTCTCCCCCACTGAAACACACACTGTTATTATTGTTTCCTTTAATTCCTAGAGGAACATAGGCCTTCAACCGCCCAAGTCTCCATTGCGTTCGGTTCTCTGCTAACGTTTTCACCCAGCTCCAAGTCTGCCCACACGCTTTCATCTCCTCTTCACATCACCTCCTCTATGTCACCCTTACACTGTTCAGTACTCCCTGGCAGGTTTCCCAGTGGTTCTCTAACTGATGTCAGCTCATGATGAAATCCTCCTTTCAATATCAAAGCCAACAAGGATCGGAAAGACAGGACATGGGTTTACTAGTCTGAAATCAGTGGGAGGATTTTGCTGCACTCAGTTTAAAAAGCAAGATCAGGATCCCCATCAATACTGTGCATATCAAAAATGCATTTCCAACCACCTATTACCAGCTTGCATCAACCGATATTCTCCCTTCGTTAGATTCTAAAAATCAGATGACCGGTCACGAAGGAGATAAGAAATAAGAGATTCTAGCTGCCGCTGAATCAGCCAAAAACCTGCTATTGAATTAAATATGTAGAAGAAGAAATAGAGATGGATTGGATATACGCTGAGATGACCAACAAGTAACATTACCCATCAAGCTGTGGAGTGAAACTTAAATGGGAAAATACAACTTGGAAGTGAGGAGACAAGGAAATGTAAGCTTATGTCAGCCGAAAAAATGAATAAAAGACCGCAGAAAGCATTTAGTGCTGCAGGTTTATTGTTGAAGTCATTTGCTTGCATCAGAATAATAATAATAATACTAAGATAATATTTATCGATCGAGTTAGTTTAAGTCCCGAGGGAGGGTGTAGACGTCCTGGTTGAGGTCCTCGGGACGGTAAACACCAACGGAGGCTGGAGACAAGTGGTGATATGGTTCAAAGTCGTTCTCAATGGCACAGATGCATCCACTCCTTGTGACTTATAATATCCAATAAAACTATATGGTTCTTCGATGTTACTACTCTTTTTGTCTCATATCTCTCTCTGTTTACTGTCTCTATTATGCATTTCTTCTACTTTCTTTTCTTACTTTGTGTTCTACATGGAGTGTGGAGACTCGAACTGCTGTACATCGGTGCAAAGTTCTATGTTAAAACTAGTCAGTCAGATTAAGTAACTGATGTTAATTGAAGCCTCCAGTAAGACAACAGTTTTCTCAAAATTAAATTTTGAACACACACACACACGCTTTATCCATCACATTAATTCTGACAAACTAAGCATAATACGATCGATATACACTGAACATCTCGGGTCAACTACATCAACTGCAAATCCATCTTCACTCATATAAGTAACTAAGACATTAAATCCGAAATTTGTAAGACTTTTTTTTGTAACTGACGTCTTCCGTCTTCAAAATAGAAAATATTTCTATTCAAATTAAAAATAAACATATGTGTTATTTTATCCTACCTACATATTTCTTTCCATAATAAAACATTATCGGTAGTTTAGGATGATAAAAAAAAAGATGAAGGGAAACCTTGTTAAGAAAAAAAGGCTTAAGTTCATTGGTTTGTTTGTATGCTTGTGTATTTGTGTAACTCGTACAAATCAGAATAAAGCTAAAACACTAACCTATGTAAGAATGCCGCTCGCATATTCGCAAAGGTTATAGATTTTTGTACGTTACTATCGTCTATATATATATGGCCTTTTGGAGAGAAAAAGTACATTTGGCAGTCAACCTTACAAGCGGCTGCTTAAACATTCTATTTATTTATTGAAGGCCTAGCATTGATGGTGATTCAAAAGCAGTCACCCAAAGGCAAGGACACTACACTGAATGAATAAATCAATCGAAATTATTCATATAAAATATTATTGTATCTTCAGTATAAAATTTGGCTAATACTACAAATAGTTTCTCATCGTATTTACATTGTTATTTAATTCCTTTCTGTTCCAATTGGGACGTAGATATATTCAGCAACACAGAAATAAATTGTTTTTCTGGGGTAATGCACCTATTCTCGCCCCCAGAATCCCCGGAATTTCACAGAAAAATGTCTCAAAAACCGCTTAGCCGCCCCCCCAAAAACCCAAAAATTTTGAACCTAATTTCCCTGAAAACTCCACAAACTTTCTGTTTCAAATCGCGGTGACACATTCTATTAATAAATGTCCTTTCACAATGCTCCCTTTCTGTACACCGGTTCGCATCAAATAATTTACTATCTTAAAATAGGATTGTGATATGGAAGCCACATGGAAGAACCCACGTGCCTGGCGAGAGATGATTACAAAAGCGATCGCGATAAAGTGGCGGTGATAGTGATTTTAAACAAAGTTATCTCATGACAATTTTGAAGAAATAATTTTTTTTCTAATTTATAAACATTAAAGACATTGAGGTAGATACAGAAGATGACGTTTTATTTTCAGCATTATTTGTTTCCACTGCACTACACTTCACGAATACCGATGATCTGCGTAATTTTCTTAAATTTCCCACTATCCTCGTAAAACCACTAAAAACCTAGAAATTGCCTCAGCATTTTTTAAAATTTGAACACATCTCCATTTGAAAACATTTATTTCCCGATACTAATTAAAAACAAGCAACAACAGGAGGTTAATAAAGCAGGATTGAATGAATTCATCGGATTTCGGTAGAACTCGTCAGCCACGGAATACACTAAATACATGGATATACACATACTTTTGAAATTACATTGGGAGATATAAGACTGATAAGTAAACAAACTACATTGAATTAGTCCTGCAGAAAGACAGGTGTGAATGTTTTCCAGGTCATGTTCAAATAGATAAGGGGAGAGGGAGTATGAGAGATTAAAATTAAGATAAATTGCATTACGCTTCAATTACATCGCTTAGATAAACAATTAGTCATTAGAGAATATATCTAGAATTGCAAACCAAGTATTATCAATAGTAATAGTTATAGTACCAATAATAATAATAGTGTTGAAGTGAGTTAAGATAATGCTACTGATAAAAGATAGTCTTAAGTGAATGAAGAATAATAATAACAAGAGGTAGAATAATAAGTAAAACGTGTTACCATGGTGGATTCAGAGTGAAGACCATCTCCTTTTTTACACAGAGACCTGGTTTATAAACTCGAATTGCACAATCCTCCTCGGCAATTGCAAGCATTTTCATGTTTGTTTGTCATCTGACCATAGTGAATGACTTGACGGCGTCGATATCATGTCCGTAATCTAGAAGATGTTTTGTTATTGAGGATTTTGGCACTTTGCATTTAGTTGTTTTCAACCATTTTGGCAAATGCTCCATCATGCGAGTAGACAATCACCTTTCTGTACTACCTCCACTTCTTACTGTTCCCTGAAGTCCTTTTTGGCTTACTCCGAAATTGTCCATACACCATCATCTTCTGCCCACATGATCTCTTCCATGTCACTTTTATTCTGACCTCCTACTCATCTTATCCCATTTGAGTTCCACTCGAGTGCCTGTCATGTGATGGTTCTTGATATGTACCCATATGATGTGTGTGTTTTGTTTTTGACAGTCTATTATATTTTGCTATGTGTAAATGGATCGATATTTCATTATAAGTGACAATATGCTTTTGTCTGTCCACTAACTAAATAAACATGTATGACCTTGTTATCACATGACATTACAACCAATCATGGTAAGATGTAATCTTATTGGTTCATGTGTATTAGCCATTTTCATATATACTTTTGTATTAGACACTTGTACATTTTCTTGTTCACACACACACATTTCGTACCATTCACTCACACACTTGTGTGACATTTATTTTCTTTGTCTGGAAAATACAAGTATCATCGTAAACCTGGCGATCTTCTGATTTCCCTCTTTCCGCGTCAGAACTATTAACCACTCGACGAGTACATAACAGTTCTCGACGGTCTTCTCAGAATCTGTTCAATCCTTTATCACAGCCTTCTGCATATTTGTTGGTTGGTTAGTTTGTCAGAGTTCCTTGCTGCTGATACTTTTTAGTTCTAATTCTGGTCTAATCTCCATTATATTGAGTGAAGGTAGATGTTTATGCTAGTCTTTAGTATCCTGTTAGAAATGCTTTTGATGACGTGTTATTCAAGTCTCTGAACCACATAGAAGCATGGATTTGATTTCACAATATTACAGATCCAGATTTTATTCATTCTACTGACTGCGGTAGATTTATTTACACACAGATTTTAGATTAATACTGTCCTGTCTTACTTTTTCGATCCTGGTTTGTCTTTAACATGCTCATTCCTACCGTCGCCTATAGGCAAAATGTGATGCTGTCTAGATAAGTGCAAGGGTAAGTGACTTCCTTCAGATTTCCCCTATACCAATGGTGACTGATACCTCATGTTGTTGTTCTGCTTCTTCTCTATATTCACTTCAAAATCCTGTCTTCACTGCTTCTCTTGCCAACTTGTTGATCCTTGGCTGTATACCTTCGAGTTTTTGTGACACACTCTGACTGACTGACTGACTGAGGGTTAATGAAATTAATGAGATTCCTGAACCAGTTCTTCTTCCTTCGAAAAGTATACCCGAAAATGAGTTTATGTGTCTCAGTAGATTTTTGGCCTGTTTATTAATTCGTATCTTTCTAAAAAAAACGCTTATCACTGGCATCACAAACGAAATCTCTATTATTGTAAACAGCAGTCTCCTGTCTGTCGCATGTGTCCCTTATACCTGATTACTGACTGGTGTAGAATCAGTGAAAAAGTTCGATTTAATAGAATATTAACAAATCTTCATGGATCATAAAGATGTGCAAAAAAAAACTGTGACATCCTTTTATACTAATAATGCTTTTTTTATTTGATTGAAAACCAAATCAGAAGTAATGGGGCTGAGATTTAGGGGATAATATGGAGGCGCCGTGAAAACTTTCGGAAGGTCAAGAGACTGAATGAAAGTGTCGACGCAACAGAACCAGGTGTTGCGAGATGTGCTTTTGGAGTCCTATGTTCCATTTGTAACTCAAAGGATGAATAATAGTAATAATAATAAACATTTGTATTATTCTATTGGCATATCGTTAAATCCAACATCCCTAAGGGTAGTGTGCTAACGTAGTCGTATTTATTTATTACTAGCTTTGAAGCAAAATTGAATGCGATCACCTTGTGGAGTATGCTACTGTTAAGATTTATCAGTAGCATATAGAAAGATGATCATTGACACAAAAATCTCGAAAAGATTTGACGTCAAAGAGAGGGAATAAACCATTAAAGCGGCAAAACACGCCAGACAAGAAAATAATACAACGAAACACAGTATGAAGGGCCAAGGTAGCGCAGCATGGAAGATCTGTGCAAATGAATATTCCGTTACCAAGTCTCTTGTCTTCCACCGTTGTTACCTCAATTAAGCTGCATATTTACATATATATATATATATATATATATATATATATATATATATATATATATATATAATAAGACACTTAAGCTATTGCATTTAAATAATATTTGCATGAAGACGTTGCTGATTGGATTCAGCACTTGTTTTCTGAGTCAGCAAGTCCTAGATTCAAGTCCCACTGTACCGACTGTGGACTGGATTACTCGGTAGTATCAACTGTCGTCAGTCAGTAATTCTAACTCTTAGCTTGAGTCATAAAAGATCTCTTCCACAGAATGCGTTTAAATAAGTAGTACGTGGATTCGGTTGACATTTGAGAAGAACCACCTTCATACCTTTCTCCAGAACTACCTTTCTGTTTGTAGGATTCCAAAGCTTATTACAATTTATTTTCATTAAATCGTCGATATACTACTTTTTCATATTTCTGTGAGTAGTACGCACCACAAGATTATTGACATGAAAAGTAATATATGTATCATTGGTTCAGTAATATGATGCATAATAGCCATCTAGGAGATCTGAGTTCTATTTCCAGTTAATGTACACTTAATCTTCACCAAGTTTGGTAGTTAGCCAGCAACAGAAGGAAGGCTGGGCAGTGGACTAGAAACACCCCCTTCAAAAGTCAAAAAATACTACACTGCTGCTGCTGAAACTTCAAAGCTTAAGGCTTGTACTCCTGTGTTCTACTAGAAAGGCGAAAAATAGAGAAAAGTAGTGATAGATTTTGAGCCATTTGACAATGATATGCAGGATAGCAGACTTGGACCTACATTTTATTCACGTGTTAGTCTGGAGAGATTTTATTGGCTTTCTGATTTCATCATGAGCTCAAGTCGGCTAGAGGAACCATTGAAAAACCACTAGGGAGTAATGAAAGATAGCTGTTTCGCCAGTCTAGTTTGAGACTGTTCAGCAGTACGTTGTCCACCATACTACTACGTTTCAAATACAAAACCTTCCGGTTACTAAGCAAGCTAGCTGATAGACCATCCAGCCACTGAGTCTTGACCCAATGTCCAGTCCATGAATTCCAACTTCCCTCAGTTCACGTTGTTACATGACCACTAGCCAATGTCATCTCGACTAGAAGTTAGAATTCGTTGGTCATTGAATCAGGTTCAACTGACTTAATGGTCTACACGTAAGTTAGACTTGTAACCGGAAGGCTCTATTTTCTGACCCTGGCGTGGATGCGTACCTCTGGAGAATCCCAAACTAGGCGCTGTTGGTGTCTCTTCATGATGAAATCACGAAATATTTTTTCTTCATTTGCGTCCTAAGTGGAAGATTTTAGTAGCATCGGTGTCTTTTTGAGGATTGGGGTTGCTAGTCTTATGCTCCTCCTCCCTCATTCCGACCGGAGCTACAACTAACTAAACGAGGTTTACAAAAGCATCACCATAGGATCGCACCTGAACCACGGGACTGATTGGCGGAGATTCTACTCTTGCACCATAAATGCATCAGATTCAGGCTTTAACTTACCAAAATAACCTCGCTAATCTACACTGACCTAGCTGAGGTTATAGTACATTATTCTATTTGAACCTACTCATCATTTTTGAAATTGAATGGTGATCAACTAATAAATATTTGAATAGTTAACCTTGTTCGTTGTAATGCTAATCTTTTCAAATACGAGTTCATTAGCAAGATAAAGCTGAATTCACACTTCTTTTTCTCCTACATGACATAATACACCTATAAACCAACAGATTACACAGGGAGAACATTGTAAAATGGTCAATAAAAAGTTAAATATTACAAATAAAATTTTTTTTTAAAAACAACAACTTTCATTTGAGTAAATTACCAAAATTCTCCATCATCTTCAAATGTTAAACCAAGTTGTTGTCTTTGTTCCGGTGGTATAAGTGACCATTCTCTTGATTTATCACTCCATGCACCTTTCCATTCTGATTCATCACCCCATGGATTACGTACACGAACTAGCGGGATTTTACCACTTTTATCTGGTAGTGAAATATCCAACTTAAAAAAACAAACAAACAAAAGATATACAAAGTGGACAAAAAATGTGCAGTTTCGTACAGTTAATATATATGTACAACTTGTGCATTGTTGTAGTGTGTAATTCCAAGTTGAATGATTAAAAATGCTCATTAAAATCTTTTTCAAATTAATGATTACTGAACATGGAATATTATTTTCAAAAACCGCCTCTTTATCAGGTTCTATATATATATATATATATATATATATATATATATATATATATATATATATATATATATATATATAATAGCGAATGAATTAGTATTACTAATAACGTTAATGTTGCTTAAATAACATCGAATGAGCAATATTCAAGTACTGGTTTTTGTAGGGATTTTGTTTGGTTGCATGAAGGATTTCATCATGAGCTGACATTATTTAGAGAACCACTAGAAAACTTGGGAGTGCCAGACAGCTATTTCGTCCTAGTTTGGACTCTTTAGCACTACGCACTCACCGGGGTTTGAACCAAGGACCTCCTGGTTACAAGGCGAACTCGTATACCATTAAGCCACTGGGACCCGATCCAGTAGCCCATGAATTTGTGTGTTTGTGGCAGCGAATACATAGGTCGTACGGAAAGGTGATTGTCTACTCGCATGATGGAGCATTTGCCAAAATGTTTGAAAACAACTGAATGCAAAGTGCCAAAATCCTCAATAACAAAACATCTTGTAGATTACGGATATGATATCGACGCAGTCAAGTCATTCACCATTGTCAGCAAACAAAGAAACAAGAAGATGCTTGCAATTGCAGAGGCTTGTGCAATTCGAATTTATAAACCAGCTCTCTGTATACAAAAGGAGACGATAGTGACTCTGAATCTACCATGGTAATACGTTTTACTTATTATTCTCTACTTGTTACTACTATTATTCTACCTCTTCTTCTTACTGTTACTGTTATTATTATTATTATTCTTGATTCATCTAAAACTATGCTTTATCAGTAAGACTATCTTAACTCACTTCAACACTATTATTATTATTATAACTATTACTATTGATATTAGTCTGTTTAGAATTCTTGTTATATTTTCTAATGTCTAATTGTTTATCTAACTGATGTAATTGAAGCGTAATGCAATTTGTCTTAATTTTGATCCCTCATACTCTCCATCTCCCCTTATCTATTTGAACATGACCTGGAAGACATTCGCACGTGTCTTTCTGCATGATTAATTCAATGTAGTTTGTTTACTTATCAGTCTTATATCTCCCAATGTATTTTCAAAAGTTTGTATATCCGTGTATGTAGAGTATTCAGTGGCTGACGAGTTCTACTGAAATTCGATGAATTCATTCAATCCTGCTTTATTAACCTCCTCTTGTTACTTGTTTTAAATTCGTATCGGGAAATAAATGTTTTCAATTAGTAGATTAGATTGCTATTGATTTTATTAGTTCTATGTTCACTGAATAGTCTTTTAATAGTCTACATAACTGATACTAACTTTATAAGCATGGTGACCTTTGGTTTTCTTGAAAATATGATCGTATATAGTGCTCTTATCACATTATTATATGATTTTTTTTTAAAGTTCTGTGTTTCTCATTTCAATACTTATTATTACTATTCATTCTTAGCGTTTCAAACAGAACAAGAAGAGTTTCAGCAGCACACATTCATTGCGTTCAGTTTTCTCCCACGCTATTCTGTGTTGATGCCACGATTACGCAAGAGCTGTCATTTTGCTGCTCACTTAATCAATCTCCTTCAAGTAATCCCTGAGAGCCTAATTTATTGTTTCGCTCTGGGGTTCTCTACTTGTGAGCCTGTTATGTGATGTAACTCAGTGGTTTCCTTAGAGTGTCTCTAATCCATGCGTATTCCCTTCCGCATAGTGGTTTGGCAACACATTCTTGTTTAAAGACGACTCTGGTGGAGCTACATGGCCTGAGATGAGTTCACCAAATGCTTGAGAATTGAGCTAGTAAATGTCTTGCATTGTCCCTTTGCTAACCATGCTGGATAATGTTCAGAGATGCGTTTGGAAAGCGTGGGCTTTGGGTGGGCGGCCAATATAACTGTAACTGCTTCTTGGCTAGTTTGGAGAATAGTATTTTACGGCCTACTATCGACAGTTTCCATCTGTACCAAAGATACATGAATGACGACATGTGACGACAATACCGACATCGAATTGATAAATAAGGAGTTCAGCAGCTGCCATCATGCCATCAAGTTCACGTCGGAATCAGAGATTAACTCGGAATTCCAATTTTCGGATGTTTTTCTAAAGAGAAGATCTGATGGTTCACTTCAAAGATCGATCTACAGGAAACCAACATGGAATGGTCAGTACACAAATTTCCGTAGCTGGGTTCCTTTAAGAAGAAAGAGAAATCTGATCCATTCCTTATCCCCAAGAATAAGGAGGATATGTTCAAGTGATACAATCGATGGGGAAATGGAGCGATTCAGACAAGTTCTCACAGAGACTGGATATCCTCCAAGATTTATCGAGAAAAACATGAAGTCAAGAGAAAAGCCTGAAAGAATCCAAACGGTGCCGAAAAAACTGCTCTTTATGAGTGTTGAATTAAAAGGTGATACTGCAGCTGAGATCCTGAAGAATCGCCTATGCAGATCACTGAGGAAAGCCTTCTTTATGACTGAGCTACGTATCAATGTCTACAGCCGACAAATGATCAACGGATGTGTGAAGGATAAACTGCCGCTTTGGACGCACCACTTCAATGTGTGTTTCTAAATTCACCTGCTCGTGTGGAGCTAGTTATATTGGCCGCCCGCACAAAGCCCACGCTTTCCAAACGCATCTCTGAACATTATCCGGCATAGTTAGCAAAGGGACAATGCAAGACAATTACTAGCTCAATTCTTGAGCATTTGGTGAATTCAGCTCAGGCCATGTAGCTCCACCAGAGTCGTATTTCAACATCATCTACAAAGTGAAGCCAAATGGTACAAAGGACATTCTTGTTTGGTTGGTTGTCAGAGTGCCATACGGTTTTGTGTCTTTCTCTGGTCAACTCTCCTAAAGCTTCAGTCAGCTTCGTGTTGTGAATCACTTGGCAGGTGGCGTCATTGTATATAGCCGTTGAATGAGTTTTATGAAGTTTAAAGCCTTTCCATAGCGTTGAAATAGTAGTTTCCACATTCATATGAATTAGTGTTGTTTAAATAAACCAACTCATAATAATAATAATAAATTTTTTAATAATTTTTCCTTCTCGTTCCCAGTGGAACATAGGGCGGCTTCAAGCTAGTGGCTTGGAGTTTCTGTAGCAGTGTTGATTATTTTTACAGGATGGGGTTGCTAGCCTCATACCCACCCAACCTTTCCTCTTTACCGGCATTGTTTCTGGCTTAGCGAGGTAAAGCAGTGGGGCGTCTGTGGCCGGGGATCGGACCCCGGACCATATGCATGGTCGGCTAGCGTCCTAACCGCTGTGCCACCGACAAACCAACTGATACATTATTGTATTTCATTGAGAAATTTTATACGGAAAATTGATTTCATTTCGATTAGTTCTGATAGATCACTGAACTCGGATGAGTATATGAAGAAAACCAATGAACTCAATAAAGTTCATTTGTTGGTTTGCAGACATTTCATTGGTTACACGGTTTCATCATCAGTTGATACCGATTAGAGAACCATTGGAAAGCCATCAGAAAATACTATCAGACAGCTGTTTCGTCAGCCTAGTTTTGAATTCTCTAACAGTACGTACTCACCTCCAGGGCTCGAACTCAAGGCCTTCTGTTTACAAGACAAGCTATCTCACAGACCGTTAAGCCACCGGAACTAGGTAGGCAGTCACCTGGATTCTGGTGGGAATTCCTAACCAGTAGGATCCACCCGGTCGAGTGAGAGGACAAATACTCGCCATCGATGAAATGGGCTTGTGATCAAGCTATATCCTAAATTGATGGAAGTTGAAATTCATGAACTGGTCATTGAACTGGGTTTCATTGGCTGGATGATCTACCAGCTAGCTTACTTTGTGACCGAAAGGTCTTGTTTTCAAACTGTGATAGTGGGGTGGTTGCGAACTTCTGAAGAGTTTCAAACGAGGCTGACGAAACGGCTGTCTGTCTGTTGCTTCCATGTTGGGTATATATTTCACAATTCCTATAAACTGATAAGTTGTATGATTAGGATGAAAATCGTATATTTTCTGAGCTAACAACAATCACTTTTGCGCACTTTATGACATGGCTTTATGTCATGAGAAATGTTCCGTTTTTACTTGTATTCTAGTGGCGCTTGTTATTAAAACTGGCGTATTTAGGAGTATGCTGTATCATCGCTTCTAATTTTTCACCTGCCAAAATTGCGTCGTATTCTTTTCAACTTATACTGTTACAACCAGCCAATTTATCTATACTCCTACGTAGTTTTCAAATAGGTTGTACAGCGCTTAATTCAAAATGAAGTTTAAACTGTTATCCAGAAAGGCAATGCAAACTAAAAAATTTTTAACCAATCAGAATAATATAAAAAGAGAATCAAATAAATTATTACAGCTGACATAAATGCTGATTTCCTCCTTACCATTTTCACGGATGTCACTGAATAAGCATGACCCATAATTAAACCATTCGGTAGTCTAGCTTCAAATTGACTTGGATCAGCTTGAATTGAACACGCCATTAATGAGCACAATTCTTGACTTTTTAACATCAGTGACAGTAGATCTGGTCGAGTATCTTTCTTTAAATCAAACATTTCAGCTATCCCACCAGTGAAATCTTCTAATGCTTCACTTGTTGTACCACCTTTCAATGCTTCATATGAACCGCATAATCTATATGAGTAACAGAGAGAAAAAGGCTTATTTAAATAAACTATGTAACAACAGAAGACAAGAGCCAGGCGACAGATCATCTATATGTTAACTGTATCCGCCTACGCAGTTTCCATTTTTCTCACGACCAATACATCGGGGGACATAAACATTGACGTAAATTACTGTCCGCCAATTTTGGCTAACAGCCAGTTCTCGTCACAGTTGTCCCCCCGTCAACGACTTGAGACTGAAGTTGGTTCGGTCTTATTGGTTCTAGGGGCTTTTTTCGTTTGCGTTGCTGTCTGGAATCTCGGCACTCGATGATGTTCACCTGTTTCTCTTTGCTTAACCCCATCTCGACGTGACTAAATGCGGTCCTTCCCACTTTGGAAAATGTTTGCCTGACCCTGTTGCACATTCGTCAGTATTTCGCCTCACACAATTGCATATACGGCTTTCTCCCGATATCCCAGCAGCGTCTCAAGTAGCAGCCTCATCGATGACAGATCTTGAAAGCCACTTAACTGCCCAGAAGCCTCGAAGTCCTGCCCGAAGACCTATATGTCTCCATCAAAAACTGCAGGGCATAGGCTTTCTGTTTGTCCACCAATTTTAGCTAACAGTCAGCTCTCATCACAACTATACTTATGTAGAAATTCGGCTTTGGAAACATTGAACACATCACTTAGAATGAGATTAAACAAAGCCAATGTGAAATAATCAATCAGCACTTTGCAGTCATTATTCGTCAAAAAATATAAATATGAGTGCTAGAAGAATTGACCGTGGTGAAACTAACACCAGAAGGATTTCAACGGTTACTAGGATTTTATTAGGATACTAAATTGTTCAGATTGACGGTCATTAGCAGACTATAACAGTCTAACATAATTAATGTATGTTTTTAGTTGCGACCCATTTGGTCGAAACTTCCACACAACTTGACCACTACTCATGAATGACACAGATTACATTGAACATCATCTCTAGGGCTAAATGAAATCAGTTCATATCATTCATAACTATGCTTTACAACCAAATCTTTCTAAAAATAGTGGATAACTCTTTAGCATTTCAATTGATGCGTAATGCACCTCACGTTTCCATAGGAACACCACCACTTACTAGGGGGCAAGTGTGCCTAGCTGACGAGTCCTCAATTAGACAAAATATGGAGCTTACATACCAAATCAGACCGATCGGTTCGGTCATATATTTATATGAATACGGAATCTGATTATATGTGGAAAAGAAACACACGCAGTTAAGAAAATACAAACGAACAAGCTTTTTTTGCCGTCCAACACTGAAATCAATTCAAAAATATTTGAAAAATGATGTTAAAACGTTTTTAAAAGCAGCACCCTTTCACATTCTTCATATTTAAATCTGATGTTAACATTACTCATTGCATACTTCCAGGACTCATACTGTTTAAAAATCTCTATATCTGCATGTACGTAACCTTGTCGCATCATCTTACTTCAGCGAGTATTGTTTAAGAGTCGTAAGAGAGAACAGGGTAAGTTGTTTATATAAATAGATCATCAGATGATCACTCCTCTTGAATATGGTAATCAAATCCTGCCAGTTTTGCTTAAAGTATCCTCACCAGAAAACCCTGATACTGGCAAAATGGGAAGTCTTTTGAGCATCACTGAACAGAAATCTTAGAATGTTTGGTGTGCGATTTGCTCCTGGATTAAAGACAGGGAATGAAATGGTAGGGTATGTTAACCACTTCTCTTGATGAGGAATTTGCATCAATCTTAATAGACTGATTGCTGACAGAAATCTCAGCATGATTCAGATGGCTAGTATGAAATTCGTCGACTTACTTCACCTTTCTTGTAGACGTGATTTCCAGTTGGCTATCGGTAGACGACATGTGTAATGTGCAGCAGTTCGCTGTCTCACTCTTTATGTCTGTGTAAATGAAAGATCTGTAAAGGTTAGTTGTCTTTCAACACAGGTATCTGAGCTCTATCTCGCGTAGTGTGATATAAATTAATGATGAGTAATGCTGGTGTTAGGCATCGAGTGTTAGGTTAGGCGGGAAAATCAGTTGATGAGATTGTACATGCTAAGACACTGACTTCTTCCGAGAATAATGTTGGCTACAACAGGTTAAGGTTGTGAAAGGATTGGTAGTGGTCAGTTCTTGAATTCTTCAACTTCTGGTTTGAATCAGCCACAAAGAAAAGTGTCGACTGACTGATAAAGGTCTTTGGGAAGTTAAGAACCAATGGTTTGAGACTATTGGTGATATGGTTCAAAGTTTTTCTCACTGGCTTAGATGGTTCCACTCTTTGTATTCTACCGTATCCATAAAATTTAGGCGTTATTCCATTATGGGTAAAATTTGTTTTGATAAAGTCTCACAGTGTTGTCATACAGTAATGTTTACTGATGACCAAGTTTCGAGCACAATTTATTACTGCTCATAATCATATCAAGACACTACTCACACGACTTCCTAACTTCATTTCACTTGATTTGATTGGCAGTAGTATTTTCCACATTTCAGGTATGAGTGATGAATCATTCCTATTGCATGTATTGGGTGTAGACTCGATGAACAAGGATTCAGTAATCAACTACCTCTCTCTCCACCTATTTAGATTACTTTTTAGAATTTTAACCCTCTCCCACCCCATTGTGTGGTTGTGTGTTAATGCATGCATTCCACTTGCTGAGCTTTTTCTAAATTACTTATATTCTCGGGGTCAACCATTCTTACCTTAGCTAAATTCTTATGTTGTGACAATCTGACTACCCCCAACCAACTACTTGGACCTATGTAGTTGACTTCACAGTCATTGCATGGTATTTTGTAAATTATATTATTTTGTCTAATTGGGTCAACTTACAGGGTATTTTAACCTACAGAGCTTGTCCCTGAGTGAGTTTGTAGGTTTAAATGCCACACTAATTCCTGCCTTATTTAGAATACTACGTAGTGTCTCAGATGTCCCCTCTTTATATGGTATAATTGTAGATGACTTATATTCTCTCTCATTTATGTTATTATTACTAGTTTCACAATTATTTTTATTTTGTTTTTGGCCTTTACTGATCTTCCTAATGAATTTTAAAGGATAGTCATTTAACACCGAAGCCTCTTCTATCTGTTTTAGTTCATCATTTAGGTCTTTTTTTGTGCTACTTAGTGCAACTGCTCGGTTTGTTAAACACTTAACTAAGCCTGCCTTCACAGACAGTTAACGGATGAGATGAATTAAAGTCCAAATATCTATTAGAATAAGTTGGGTTTTTGTACACACTAGTGTGTAGTTTGCCTTCTTCTATACGTTTTATTACTGAATCCTTGTTCATCGAGTCTACACCCAATACATGCAATAGAAATGATTCATAACTCATACCGGAAATATAGAAAATACTACTACCAATGAAATCAAGTGAAAAATAATGGAACTATATAAATGTTAGTTAGGAAGTCGTGTGAGTAGTGTCTTGATATGATTATGAGCAGTAATAAATTGTGCTCGAAACTTGGTCACCAGTAAACATTACTGTATAACAACACTGTGAGACTTTATCAAAACAAAATTTACCCATAATGAAGATACACTCTACCACAGTGCACAAGTTTTATTATCAATGATTTACGTATTATTCTCTTTAATTATTATTTCTCCCGTTCAATTTTGTTCAATTCGATTCTTCTGCATTTCTTCGTTTCTTTTCTCAAGTTTTGTGCGGTACACAAAGTGCAGCACATGTTACAAATGTTACACCTCTGTGCACAGTTATGCGTTGGAGCTCAATCAGCCGTCTAAGCAAGATAATACTACTAGTTACTATGGTTCACCTTCTTTACAACCATCCAGTTGTGTGCATCGGTGGCACAGTGGTTAGGACTCTCGACGACTATACGCACATGGTCCGAGGTTCGATCCCCTGACGACGCACACCTGATATATATATATATATATGGTCGGCCTGAAAAATTTGGGCTACCGATATCATATGCTGAAAATTCCATACTTGTAGCAAAAATACAGTGTGGAATCAAGCTGTAATCAAAAATTAAAAATTAAAGAAATAAAAATGACCGGGAATTAGAAAGGCTTATGAACCACACACACACACACGCAAAGAGAGAGAGAGAGGAGTATTCTGCTTACTTTGCATATGCTTTTTCTAACAAAGCAGACCAAAATTCATTCTTTTCAGTTGAGTGTATATAGACAAGTGAACCACGATGTGTTGGTAGACGATCATCGACTACAACCTCTTTCCATTCACCATAATGCCAAAAATGAAAACGAAATAGACCACAGTATTCTTTAGTAAAACTTTGATCAATTGATACAACTTGTTCAAATAGATTTTTATGCATTGATAAACATGCAATAGCTGCCAATAACCAACAATCACCTGTATATATTGGAATGAAGGAGACAGAGAGAGAGAGGGATAGAAAACAGAAACTTTCATGTATGTAATAGAAGAATGATTCATTTCACAATTAATTAAGTAATAATCTTGAGAACAAAAAGTTGTAAATATCTGAGAACATTGAACACCCCAGTGGCCTTCTTTTTCTTCTAGATTTTAAGAAAGAAACCGATTTCTTTCTATTCTAGAGTTATAGACAAATCAATCAATATCATAAAGCCAACCGCCCACTCCGTCTAATTCTGGATATGTCAGGTTCCCCGTACCATTCAATAGTGAAATGGCTCGCTGATATTTTAGAACCTGTACAAGAACGAATGTGCCACTATTCGCTTCGTGACACTTTCCAATTCGTTGATTACATTAAAGATATCAATGCAAAGGGCAGAACTTTGCTCTCTCTCTCTCTTTCTCTCCACATTGAATCACTATTTACCAACGTTCCACTCACAGAAACCGTCTCTTACATTTGTCAATATATCGACGAAAATTAGCTGAACATCGGATTACCGACGTTCTGTTTAAAAGAACTACTACTACTGAGATGTACACTCAATGTACAATTCACATTTAACGAGGTTATTTACAGACAACAAGATGAGAACGCAATAGGATCTCCGTTAGGCCCATTACTAGCAGACTGTTTCATAGCAAGCCTCAAAAACGACCCACTCAAATCAACCATTGACAATTTCCAATTGTATGTTAGATATGTGGATGACATCTTTATCATCCGTGATGACGGTCACGATCTCAATCAATCACTGCAAATATTCAACAAATTCCATCCAGCCACAAAGTTCACTCTAGAAATTGAAAACGAATCTAAAACCCCTTTTCTTGATGTTGAGCCTACAAGGAGAGCTGACGGAACTTTAAGAAGGTCCATCCATAGGAAACCCACATGGAACGGCCAACTGACAAGCTTTTACAGCTGGGTACCAATCAGTCGGAAAAGAAACCTAATTAAATCCCTTACCACTCGCGTCAGACGCATCTGCAGCTTTGACACCATGGGAGAAGAACTAAACTTCCAGAGAGAAAACTTCATACAAAATGGCTACCCATCAAAATTCGTAGACAAAAACATCAGACAAAAAATCCAAAAGCAAGAGACACCATCCGTGCCTAAAAAGATACTTTATATGAACCTGGACTTCAAAGGATACCTACTTAGTGACGTCCTCAGAAGGAGAATTTCCACCTCTTTAGAAAGAACTTTACCTGCGGCAGTGTAGTGAGTAGTGTTCTCCAGTTGCCCGCTGATCTGCAGAAGCCCAGAGGACAAGATTGCGCACATGACCACTTCTATGTGTATATATCAGTTCACCTGTTGCTGTGGAGCCAGGTACATCAGTCGTTCAACGCGCATCCTGTCAAAAAGGGTCAAAGAACACTATCCAGCGTGGCTGCAGGAAGGAAGTAATGGCCGTATAAGGAGTGCAATAATCGAACATCTCGTCAATACTGGTCATTCCATCTCAACAAACGCCTCCTGCTTCAAGGCCATCTACAAAGTGAAGAACAACCTTCCAAAGACAGTACGATTCGGTCTTCTTTGTATCGCAGAAGCCCTGGCCATTCAGTTGGAGGAATCAGAATTGTGCATACAAAAAAGAAAATTATTCAACCACTTCTACTCTCATGGTAACAACTCCGTTGATTTGACTCGACTTTTGTTTGTTTGTTTGATTTCACCTTACTTCTGTTTGAATGCTTATTTTTTATCGAACTTAAAACCCTTGTGTAATTCTGTATATTATTTTGTTTCCATGTACACTCTGAGCACAACTCATTCATCAAACTATTCATGCCATTACGGAACTCTTATTTAACAATCATTTATGACAACTCATCACCTTTGTTACTATCCTCTTATATTTTCGTTTGACAAATTTAACGTATATACACACACACACACACACACACAAAACAACCACATATATTTGGGATTGTACAGCTATGAAAATGAATTCGCCGAAAAGAGACTCTTCGCTGAACTACTGTTGGTCTTTTGTCTGTTAAATCAATATCACTCAGAGAGTAATTAAAAACCAAAGAGTAATAACAGACACTTGTTTCATCGTAGCTTTGAACGCTTCAGAAGTGCTGAAACCATGACATCACCGTTAGGTATAGAACTGAGAATCTTTATGCTACGAGACTAGCCAGTTGTTGAATATTCACTCACTTACTGGGTCAGTGGAATTCAGTAACCTGTAAAATTCTAACTTCTATGGATTCGTTATATGAATCTATAGTCATTGAAAGGCGTTGATAAGCATACACCTCACCGTAAACGTGGGTGATACCCGCGGATATGGCTTGTTTAGCATAACTTGAAGATTTCCAACTATGAGGTATGATTATAAACAATAAAATGTGGTCCAAAAATCATCTAGTATACACATTCTATCTTCATTGTGTGTTTCATCGCATTAACTTATCTAATATGTAATTTTATTCTACTAAAGTGTTTATGGGTAAGTGTTCAGCCATCTGGAGAGGATTACAGAGGATAAGATGAAATGGGTGAAGTGCTACTGAAGCTTAATGTTTCACGAGGAACCTAACTGGATTAAGGAGAGTAACAGTACACCCCCCCCCTTAATTCTCTGCATACACTAACTCACGAATCAGTACTCGTTGTTTTGTTATCTTGTCACATTTGGGTTTCACGTTACTTCCATATAATCTAACAAATAATACAGCGTATGATGTATATTGACTTAAGAAGACTATTTTAACTGAATACCTAAATGTCCGGAATATTAATTTTGATTGGAAAAAAAAGTTTACAGGTATGAAGATCGGATAAATAATGGAGTAAAATGAAGTACAATTTCTCATGTTATATAGTTAAGATAGTGTTTGTTATTATTATTATTCCCTTGGGTTCCGATTGGAGCATAGGGCTTCAACAACACTTCTCCATTTTGTTCTGTTTTCTGCCGTTCTCTTCAGCTGGTTCATGATTAAGCAAACTCTCTCATCTCTCCCTCACCTGATTTCATCCATGTCACCCTCACATTGACGACCTATTCGTTGCTTCCCATTTGGATTCCAGTCGAGTAATGGCCTGGCGTACGATGTTATTCGGCGGCCTCCTCAATGTATGCCCGATCCATCTCTACTTACTCTTACATATATCTCGAGCGATCGTCTCTTGCCTGTTGGTTTGTTCCCAGACAGAGTACTTTGCTGCTAATTCTTTCTGGCCATTTGATATTCAGTGTGGAGCAAAGTGGGCAGCTGTTGATGAAAGTCTGCATCTGGCTGTTGGAAATCCTTTTCGTGACACACAGCACAAGTTTCTGACCCGTATAGAAGGACCAACTTCACACACTGCTGTTGAAAATGCGAATCTTGTTCCTTATGCTGAGTGCGGAAGATTTTCAAACTAGTTACAGGTTGATAGTGTTCATTAGAAGGACACAATATATCTTTTGTTGAAAACCGCTCAAAAAATCAATAATACTAGCCAATCAAATCAATCCTAGTGATAATACTACTACAAATTTTTTATAGATTAAAAGTGTAAGATTGATTGATTCACAATACATAAATTTCCACTCTTAACAACTGAATAAAATTCAAATCGATAGTAGAACAACTCATTACATCAGTCATCCTTTTAAAGAGTGAATAGTTTCAATTCTTTCACTAATCATCCAGTGAACGAAAAAACAAGCAAGAAAAGAAGGGGACAGTCGAATACGGTCCTCCAAACTGCTTTCAGTCATTGACACCAGTAATCAGCCTAGTCATAAAAGAAGAGAACGAACTTTAGGTATTTCAGTTACTTCTAGCTAGCTAGTAAACACTACCGCCTCAGGTGAATAGTTCCTGACTACTGATATCACTCAGGTGTGTACACCAGATAGAAAACAGGTATTACTGTATAGGAGATAATTTTTGTATAGATTACAAGCCCACTGAATAACACTATAAACCTTGAGACGATGAATGTTTGCTTTAACTCCCAGTGGGAACAGTATCATTCAATATGATACCGTACGCATAACTAACAATTCCTGACCAAGATGAAACACTGACAGAAAATCGGACGAACTGTCAACTTAATAACTAGATCACAGCGATAATAACAATGACAAGAATAAGCAACATGTATCACTGATTGTTGGTCCATCCAGGAAGAGGGCTGTCGAGTAGTTGTACCACAGGATGATACCACATGGTATTCTGGTCTTGCAAGAAGCTCCAATGAATGCATTCGGTTTTCCTAACAAACTAATGTATCATCACCTAGTCAATGGGTGTATCATAATGTGAGTACACATCAGTGGTACAGTGATGGAATGTCAACCAACAACTCATGAAGGCTAGGTTTGATTCTTGGCCGATGAACTCCTAAAACTCACTAGTGGCTAGTAGTTAGGTCGGTACCGAAGAAAAGATGACTGTGAGATCAGCATTTCCACCTTGGAAAACATAACACTACTGATAATGAAACTTTAAAAATGAACTTTAGGCTATATTTTCGATTTAAAAAGCAAATGAATGAGGAAAAAATCTACTGATTGATGTGGGTATTCGATCACTTCAATCTGGTTTGCCAACATTGTTGTTTTACTTGAGTCTTTTACAACTACTCATATTAATCAGTGAGTAGTATATTCCGTTGACGCAGCAGTGATCAATGCATAAAGCTTTGTTACAACACTGTAGTGTTACATTTAAAAAAAAAATTGTTGTCTCAACCGGCACTTCTTCTTAGTTGTATTAACCACCCACACACATCTTCACTGTACAAATTAGTATGCCAGATCGTCTGAACTTTGCAATATTTTGTTTATTCATAACTAACTCAGATAACTAAACGTAGATCAGTTGTGCACATATTTATTGTACAATACATATAGGCGTACACAGATTGTCGGACGCTTACAGAAACATATAAAAAAAAAATACTAAAAAGCACACATATATGTGAGTCAATAATAAAATTCCATCTGTAT